TTTTTTCTTACTTCTACATTAAATTTAAATGTTGCGGTTATTTTGATTATTAAAATCCTCTTGTTTTAAGATTTCATATTTTTTGTTTGGATGCAAATTTATGAGTAAAAAAATATACCTGCAGATTGGTTGGAATAATCAGTAGAGATAGAGAAACATCGATGTTGCTACTATCGAAGTTTAAAGCAAAAATGCAAAAACATCGATGCGTTGATGGTGCCACGATGTTTTCTCCACCTCTAATATTAGTTGCGTTCGATAACAGCCAACACCAGCCAACCATGAACGAAAGACACATTTGCACATTATTTTTGGTTCATGCCAGCCAACAATCAAAATCAAGAGAGTAAGCGAACATTCTCTCCCCAAGAGAAGAAAAAGCAAAAAAGTAAACGAACAGGAAATTAGCCTTCACTTGCAAAAACCGGAAGAAGAAGATACACCAGCTGGCTTTGTTTATTTGTTATTTGTAAACAAACTGAAATTCATGTTGCCTCCATGGAAGAAAAAAGGAAAGTGAACGTTCAATGTTCGCCAGGGACATTTCTAGAAATAAAAACTAGTCCCCTTTCAGACACGTCAAGTCTTGAAAGCAATTTTTATCGCATTCTCTTTTGTGTTTTCTCTTTGCTTCCACACGTGTCAAGTTTTATTGAATTCAAGTCCTTGGATCTTTAAATGGGAAGCAACGAAAAGATCAAAAGATAACAAGAAAACTTTAAACGAATTTACGGTACGGAGGTATCTGTACTCTACCCCTCTCTTCCCACCTCCTTCGCCCACGGACGAGCAGACTTGAAAGCAAGACTTGACGTGTCTGAAAGGGGACCTAGTTGGCGCTATCATAAAGTCACATAGCAGCAGCCAAAAAGCATATAAATACCAAAACCCGAGAAATGCAATTTTGTTTGTTTACAAAAATTGCAACCATATGTTTTGTGATAATATATTTTCGTGTTGGATAATTTTTGCCATGGATAACTAGATATGAAACTCTCTCCTTTTTTCTGAGAGCGCGCCCAGGAACTCATTTTCGTACTTGGCAGCACTGCCAATCCCTGGGCAGATAAACAGCTGACACGCGAAGTGGTGAGCTACCACTAGATGTGTGGAAAATGCATCACATTGAATTCAGTGGATTTCTTCTTTCCGCATTTTTTAATATTATTATAAAACAGTATTTGTAACTAAACGCGATTTTACTGACAATATAAACACTGAAATATAAAATAGATATGAAAAATATTGCAACTTTTGTTCGTTGTGTTTAATCAAAAGTTTCTCCATAAATTTCTCTATAAATGCCCATACATGTTTACGTCACAGCGGCTGTACTGGAGAATGTTATAAAAATACACACTTTGACAGCGCTCTCACGAGAAAAAGAGTTTCATATCTAGTTATCCATGATTTTTGCTGACTAAAATTTTGCCAGTACAAAATGAACGCTTCTCTTGCATCTAAATGAACGCTTGCTCTCTCAATTTTTGTGTGTTGGGTAATTTTTTGTCGTTATCGAACGCCATCCAGTAAAAATTTGGAAAAAACTTTTACAAATTTTTGACTTTTCGAACGCAACTGTTATCGAACGCCATCCAGTAAAAATTTGGAAAAAACTATTACAAATTTTTGACTTGTCGAACGCAACTAATCAGATGTTTTATGACAGTAAAGGAAAAAATCTGTTGTCATCATTTCTTGGTGATTTAAACAAATTGGCTTTTATTGATCATTTTGTTAGCAAGCAAATTTGTGAATTCCTTTTTCCATATTAACTAAAATAGAAACCAATCGCATATCAAAAATAAATGCTACATCAAGCATAATTTTAAGAAATGGCTGAAGCGCAAATTGGTCGACGAAATGCATGTATTGTAGTATTGGGCGACATTGGACGCAGTCCACGCATGCAATATCACGCTGTTAGTTTACTCGAAGAAAATTTTAATGTTGATATCGTTGGCTATGTAGAAACAAAGCCGTTGGATGTGTTAGTTAATGCACCCAAATGCAAAATACATGAATTGTCACCAGTGCCTGTAACAAATCTGACACCCAAATTAAAGCTTGTATTCAAAACATTCTGGCAGACTTTGAGCTTGCTGATAGCGCTAGTTTCAATACGTCGCCCAAATTGTTTGCTTGTACAAAACCCGCCAGGCGTACCTACATTGATAGTTTGTTACCTTTATTGTGCGCTTACTCGAACAAAATTTGTCATCGACTGGCATAATTACACGTACACCATATTAGCTTTAGGCAATGTGAATGGAGAAAAGAGTGGATTTTGTCGTTTAGCAAAATGGATTGAACGTTCGTTTGGAAGCAAAGCAAATGCAAATTTTTGCGTAACCAAAGCTATGCAGCAGGATTTGATTCTAAATTGGAATATTGGGTAAACTTTTATTTTAAACATACATATAACAGAAAGTTTATTTACATAAAAACTACATGCATTCATATCCACGAAACAGATTCTTGATTCATATCCATATTTCTATTTACTTTCTTCTCTATAGTCCAGCTGTTGTCTTATACGACCGCCCCCCTACACAATTCCATCCCATTGAATTGGCACAGAAACACGAGCTATTCATGAAATTATCCAAGGTGTATCCACAGTTTCTGCCAAAATGCTATTTGGATTTAAAGGAGTCAGGTGTTATTGAAACAACAGCTCTTACCCAAAAATTAATTAATGGAAACGTTTCACACAAACCACAAAGAGCGGCTATAGTGGTATCTAGCACTAGTTGGACACCAGATGAAGACTTTAGTATACTTCTAAAAGCATTAGAGGGTATTTTAGATAATCATTTTTTACTTGCTATATCTACATACACATAACATCTTTAGATTATGAGAACACTGCTACAGCGCGCCCAAAAAACTTTCCTTCTCTATTGTGTATCATTACCGGAAAGGGACCACAGAAGCAAGAGTATGAAACACAAATTGCTAAGCTAAAATGGTCGAAAGTTTCTATAATTACGCCATGGTTGGAAGTAGAAGATTACCCATTAATTTTAGCGGCAGCCGATTTAGGCGTGTGTTTACACTGGAGCAGCAGTGGTTTAGACTTACCTATGAAAGTGGTGGATATGTTCGGCTGCGGCCTGCCGGTATGCGCATATAATTTTAAATGGTAAGTACGCACATTTTTTGTGTTCTTAATTACTTTTGCGTGGTTTGATTAAAAAATTTGTCATGGTTTGTATGCATGAGCGTGTTTAAACATAATGAAGCTATTTCAGTCAAGTATTAAGAATTCAACGTATTAAATAAATTATTTATAAGGCATAACGAATACCCCTTGTGGTTTACTAAGCAATAAGGACGCTAATTTACTTAAAATTTATACACCCCGGCTTATCATGTAGCGGTAGCTTTAGGAAAGGTGGAAAACATATATTTAATACTTGCGCCGGGTATTTAATGTTCGGCTCCGCCCGAACTTAGACTTTCTTACTTGTTATTTCTACTTTTGAATATGTTCATATTGTAGTTGTAAGAGCATACAAATTGCCCAAAGAATTTTTTGGGAGTGTTTGTTGGAGTGACAGCCCTTGGTCAGATATAAATCTGGGTCGTTCCGGTTACGTAGACCCGACTGTCGTGGGAACGTTTAATATTTTTATAAATTACATCGGTGACAAACTTAAGTCTGAATGTTTTCTATGCAGATGACTAAAAAATATATAGAAAGGTACCTCAGCACAAATTCTGCAAGTACATGGAATATTTTTAAGCTCTTCGATGCAACCATGTAACTATAGTAGCCGCATGAGCAGAAGCCAATTTGCCGACTTGTCCTAAAAAGTAATCAATGGTCACATTGTTTCACCTGAAATTCTTGTGCAATTCGGCTTCATTTGTAGGCCTCAGAATAAACCGCCAACTCAAAATAACAAGCCGAAAAGTAACTACCTACAACAACAACAAATATTAAATTTTTCCGGATCAACTACCTGCTTGAGATATCACACACAGCTATACGATAATGCATTTGTTATACTAGTTTTATATTATTGAATTGTTCTTGTACTGTAATTATCTTGCAATGTTTAATTTGCTATATTAGTACAAAGCCGATTGGCGTTAAGTGTTAAGCATTAAAAAATTAAATTAAATATTACCTACCTGGACGTACGCAATTCAAGTGGTTTTCTATTTTTCTTTTAGCCTCGGTGAATTGGTGACGCACGGACAAAATGGATTCATATTCGAAAATCAAAAGGAACTGGCGGATCAACTGATATTTTGGTTTGAAAATTTCCCAAGTAATCCGCGTTTACTAGAAACCAAGGAGCGTTTTCGGAAAAATTTGCATGAATTTCAATCATTGCGCTGGCATGGGAATTGGAAAAATAATGCTTTGCCTGTTTTTAACTCTTTTACTTAAAAACACCACGCCAAAACTGTATATAGTATATAATACATGTATAATATTTATGTACACCCACAAGTCTGTTGTTTTATATTTTATTAAACTTTAATTAAATTTTCTTTATTGCTTTTTGCATACAAAATGAAAGTTATAAATGTCCATTAAAAACATTTTTGAAATAAAATAATTAAAATAGCCGATGTTTTTTTATTAATCCTAAGACGCCAAATTGTGAAGGGATGGATAACCTTTACTAAAATGGAATATGCACATAAAGTAAAGAATTGCAATTGAATCAATCCATTTGAAGTAATCACTTCAATACATAAATCGTATTAGGATTCCAATAAATCTAGATATGTATAAATTCAGTCTACTACATAGTGAATTTAATTTTTATTTGAGGATTAATTGTCGTAAACTTAGAGCTTAAACAGACGGCAGCGTTGATCCGGATCAACTCGGGAATTAACTGCAGTTGATCCGGATTAAGTCGCAGTTAATCCCGATCAACGCAGTCGTCTGTTTAAGCTTTTACTCAACTCAAAACAATGCTTATCTTTAAAACAAATTCTGTGATCGAGTAAAGTATTACAAATTTTCAGAAATAGTGACCATGACGAATATATTTCACATGTGCTCTCCACAAACCGGGCAATTATTTGAATGACATCTACACTTGTTGTAGCAGGCGTCGTGCAACGCATGTCCGCAACGGAGCTTGGTCATATTATCAATCTGCATAACCTTCACGCATATAACGCAGACATCTCCGGGCTTACTAAAACGATAAATAAAATGTGATAATCAGAAATTCACTTCAGAGTTGTTCTCAACCGAAGCCACTTTGAATTCAAATTGAATGGGTTTAAATTCACTCGGCAGTGAGTTGCAAAACCTGTCTGCATGTTCATTCAAATTTTAAATCATATGTATACTAACGATTGAAATCTCTTTTTGGGACTATTATCGGCACTTGGTTCACTATAAAATAGGGTTAAAAATATAATGTAACCCTAATATAATGTGAAAACAAATTTCAAAACATGTTTATACTAACGTAATAAAGCTTTCTCTAGATCTTCCACGAGTATCACCGCGGCTTTCGTCACGATAATTAAGTGCTTGTGGTCGCGTCAGTACTAAAGCAACCATTCCTACACAAACTCCCAGCATGAATTGCCATATAGGAATCATTCTGGGGATTCGATTTCATAAAAACTTAATTCTATTCTAACAAACTTTTTTATGTAAAGGGTGTAAAATTACCGATTTTGAGACAAAGATCGAACTGTTGTAGTGTAAACAAATTCCAATACCAGAAAAATTGAAAAGGACTTTACAACTAGGGATGCCGAAATGATATCGATGCTAGAGGTGTAAAACTATCGATGGTACTATCATTGCTATCGAATGGTTCTATTTTGACGTAGAATACGTCTTACGTTTCGATCACGGTTGCTGTTTTGGTCCAAATGGACCAAATTTGATCCATTTATTTTCGTTTGGTCCAATGGTCCAATTCTTTTGAAAATGGTCCATTTCACAAGCCTTTGGTTAGGTTATTATCCCCCTTTCACTTCATGCAATAGTTACGCATTATACCGGCCGTCTTCACGTGCTGGAAAATCTCGCTTGCGAGCGGTATGCGAGCTCTCGCTTGCTTCCAACTATCATTTTTGTTGTTTGACAGCTATGTTCTTATTTCGCAGAATTCTTCAGAGCATCGTTTATCTTGGAGGCAAATGCAAATTTAGAGACAGCCATTTTTCATTTGAAAATAGTATACATCTCTTTATGCAGATTTTCTAATTTCCTCAAACTTTTAAGAGCCTGCAAGGCTTGAACCTTCGTGTTTGGCGACATTTTACAAATGAAAAAGTATGCTATGAAATGCCCAGTCAACAAAACTCTATCTCGCTTGCGAGAGAAAAAAGCAGAACGCAAGCGAGATTTTCAAGCATGTGAAGACGGCCGGTAAAAGTGACGATACGGCCATCTTCAGCCATGTTACTGATGCGCTGACGAACGTCGACGATGACGATATTCAGATCTTCAAATATGGTATGGCTAATTATCTGTAAAAACACGCTTCAAAACATATCGAGGTTTCTTGCTAATTTCAATTAATCGGTGACCAATATTAAAGGGGCTGGCAATAATATGGAAAGGTAGCAAAACTTAAATCGTAGCATTTAGCACATGAAAATGATATTCGATTTCAATCGAAAATATTTTAAAAATCTTGAAATTATTACACCACAAAAAGTTCTTTCTGATACTGATGTATCAATTTTGCCGCTACTCGACCAATTTCCTGCATTGGTAAATGATGCGGACAGAATTGAATTTAAATTTCGCAAATTAGGGCTGAGTGAAGGTAACTTCAAAAACTATACCAATAGAAGGTTTTTGGAATCAAGTAAGTTTGATTAAAAATGCAGTGGGATAAGCGGCCTTTGAAGAATTGTGTGATTTAGTTCATGACATTTTTAGTCTACTCACAGTTCCGCAGCAGGTGAGCACAAATTTTTTGAATTAGTATTAGTAAAAACGAAATTAAAAAACAAATTATAATTTAAAACTTAAATAATATAATTTTTTAATATAAAATTTTAGTACTCCTTGGATGTAAAGTCAAAAAAAATCGTTATAAAAACTGAATTGGTATATTTTCTTGGTAAAAAGGAATAAAATCCACTCAATCTCCCGATGTAATAAAAATTGGCCCATTTTTTACCATTTGGTCCATTTTTTGGTCAGAAAAATAAACCGGGGTTTCGATGTGGAGGCGCTGTCACCTCAACTGAAGTTTTTCACTTCCCTTTGGAAGCCTTCACTCCAGTTTCCTTCGTTTTACTTCACTTTCCACAAATTAGATTTATCTCCAAAATAAACAAAAATTTCTTTGAAATGTATGACTTATTTCACCAAAATCAAAAATTTTTGCTAAAATTCTTCTTAAGTAGAAGATATGGCAAAGTAACTTTTCGCCAAAAACTACTAAAAAGACACCTTATCTGATCTGGCATCGGTTATTTCAAGGCAAAACTTTTCGTCAGTTTACACTGGCTACACACGATGAACAGATCCGCGCACATGTGCGCCAACATGCTCGCTGTCGTTTGCTACAGACGGTGAGTGGCTCATAAGTGATTTTGTACTCAAAGCGTTGACATGGGGAGTAAAGACGCGGATGATGCAATTGAAATACTTATGACTTAGGTGTTTTTATGTACTTATGTGTTACTTAAATTTATTTATATTTTACTTGTATGTATGTACATACATATATGTACATATAATAGTAATTTAGCCTCATTTATCAAAAATTCAATTAACGCACATGGCTTGGACGCATTTATCCGCGATGTGCACACTGCAAGCATCAACACAAAATGAGGTTGTTGTTTTTGTTTCCGGGTTGGCTTTCCTTTATGGCCGTTCGTTAAAGGGGCGGTGGGCGAAAGGTTAGTGGGCGTGACACCTCTAACCCACCTTTTTGGAGAGGGAATTAACCGCCATTGACAAAAATGCAACCCCCGACCACCTAGAACCCATATGGTTCCCTAGGGACCCCTTAGAAAAGTCGCCAAAAATCACAATTTTCATTTGCGTTTATACGCTTGAAAACTGTTAAATATTCATTTGCACAATTCATTTTTATATACACATTTTTATACACAAGACATTTTTATAAAACACGCAGTTACCAAAATAGACATCACTGGGGCGGCAGCCCCAGGTTTACCACACAGAAAAGGAATTCTAGTTACCTCATCTTTTCCCAAGGTTACATCACCGCCCCAGTTAGGTCACACAGAAAGGAGAATTCTACGTAGTAAGGGTTATAATCCCTAAGCGCGGCTGAAGGCCGCCTACGCAGAAAGGAATTCTACGAAAAAATACTGTGGACGCAAGTAAAAATTGCGATTTTTGGCCATTTTTCTAAGGGGTCCGTAGGGAACCACAGGGGGCCTAGGTGGTCGGGGGTTGCATTTTTGCCCAACCCCCTTTGCACACCGCACCTTTAAGGAAAGGCCATAATGGAAAGTTTCCCCTTGTTTGCAATGCGATGCTCGCAAACCACGCTACAAACGACGAGCATGCTCGCTGAAAATAAAAATTTTTTAATTTTTGGCGAGCATGCTCGCAAACCGCCCTACAAACGACGAACATGCACAGCAAGCCGAGCATGTGTGCGGATATGTTCGTCGTGTGTAGCCACTGTAAAGGCCCGTTTACATACAACTTTGGAGTTGCGTTAGCGTCGGCGTCGCTTTCACAGCTGACTATGAATACATGCATTTAAATGAAAGTCTCCACATAACCAAAGTTGGGCAACGCCAACGCCAGCACAACGCAGAAAGATGGCCAACTCTCAACTTTTCGCGCGCGTCGTTCGTCAGCTGTTCCAAATAATCAAAATTATGTCATTTCATTTTCATTTTTAATCAAATGCGGGCAAGAAATATAATTTTGAATGCAATTATTGATATAAAATTTTGATTTATCTGCCGCTAGTATGTTAATTTAGTGTCCAAAGTATTCTCTGCTAAGCGTTCATTGTAGCAAGCACGGGCGTTATTCGCGCCGCTGTCAAAGCGACGCCAGCGCCAACGCAACGCCAAAGTTGTATGTGGACGGGCCTTAAGGAACGCAACTAATACTTGGTATCGAACAAAAAGTATCGAGTATGTACTTTTATTTACCCGTATCGTTTCATCCCTATATGTACTTGTATTTACTCTCATCGTTTTATCCCTATTTGTCTTAAGCTTAAAGATCGTAGTTATTACTTCCATTATAATATTTATATATGTACGTAGAACACGAAAAAATCTTGCGGTATAAGTTAGATTTTTAAAACATCGGATCCCCATAATGATTCCTGTATGGCAAATGCTGATCGCCGCTTGTGTAGGCCTAGTTGTCTTGGTACTAATTCGGCCACGACCGATTGGTTATGATCAAAAACCCAGAAATTCATTTAATACGTGGGTTTATCTTTTGAAAGTTGTTTTGAATTTTGTCGTTAATAATGATTAACTTACTGACTTACTTTTGAACATTTTAGCACGCCTGAGGAAAGATGCCCT